GGTGTGTGTGTGTCCTATTTTTTGAGATGGAGTATTGGCTCTGTCCCCCAGGCCTGGAGTGCAGTTGGCACGATCTGGGCTCACTGCAACCTCTGCATCCCAGGTTCAAGGGATTTCTCCTACCTCAGTCTCCCTGGTAGCTTGGGAGTTACCAGGCTGCCCACCACACCCGGCTACTTTTTGTATTTTTAGTAGAGACGGGGTTTCATCATGTTGACCAGGCTGGTCTCGAACTCCTGACCTCGGGTGTCCACCTGCTCAGGCTCCCAAAGTGCTGGGATTACAGGCGTGAGCCACTGTGTCTGGCAAATTTTATTGTAAATTATATACTTGTGCGAGGGGTGAAAATAGATACATTCCTTAGAACAGTAAGTGAGATACAAACTGGTGCAAAAAAATCAAAAATAATTCTTGCTTTATTGATTGGTTTTTCTTTTACATCTATTCTTAAACTGCAATTTATCTTTTTTTTGGACGGGTTGCATTTCATGTTGCCTAGGCGGAGGCAGTGGCCCGTCTGGCTCACTGAGCTTCCGCCTCCAGGTATGGTGCCATCTCCTGTCTCAGACTCCTGGGGTAGTGATGGGTACAGGGCTTCCACCAGCCGCGGCTAATTTGTTATTTTTAGTAGAGGATGGGTCTCACCAATGTTAGCCAGGGATGGTCTCATTCCTGACTCGGATCCACCTGCCTTCGCCTCCACAAGTGTGCGGGATCAGGTGGGAGCCACTGCGCCAGCCTAACTGAAGTTTCTATCTTTATTAAAATACTGATTTCATTATGCCACCTGGGTTTCAGTGTAGCAGTTATAAATGAAACACAACTACTTTTTTTCTACCATTCCAAAAGGATGTCAAGAATTAAAAGAGATCATGTCACTCAACAATTACTTACCAAAAAAAGTGAAATGCGTACAATACCCTACCGATTGGGGCATTTATAAAAAATCTGTCCCAATTTGGAGTCAGTACAACTAACTCTTTGAAAAACTATTCTTATTTTTGAGTATGGACAATTCCAAACAACCTGCAATACAAAAATGTTAAAACTTACTTGGCATTGCTAACATTTGACCTGCCAGGATATACACAAAAATATGCAATAGAGTCATGGCTTTTTCGTCTTGGGAGTTTAAACATCTTCTTCATGGGAGGGAAGAGTATTGGCTGGCCTGGCCAACATGGTGAAACCCTGTCTCTACTAAAAATACAAAAATTAACTGGGCGTGGTGGCACGTGCCTATAGTCCCAGCTATATATATATATGTACATATATATATATATATAAAAAATGCTGCAGTACATTGAGGACCTAATATAGTTACTAAAATAATAAATATTTTGTGAGCTAGGCTAGAAGTATATATTTTTTAACCTTTACATTTTTTACTTTGTATGCAATATTTAGTGGAAATCATGACCTATGTGACATGGAAACTGAGTGCATTTCCTGCAAATCGAGTGATTGGAATTGGATGTAATCTGGATTCACAGAGATTACAGTATATTATTACAAATGTTTTGAAGGCACAGACTTCAGGCAAAGAAGTATGGGTTATTGGCGAGCAGGGAGAAGACAAAGGTAAGAAGTACATTTTTAGGCTGGGTGTGGTGGCTCACGCCTGTAATTCCAACACTTTGGGAGGTCAAGGCAGGATTGCTTGAAGCCAGGACTTCAAGACCAGCTTGGGCAACATAACAAGACCCCATCTCTACAAAATGATATAAAAAATTAGCCAGACACGGTAGTGCATACCTGTAGTCCCAGCGGCTCGGGAGACTGAGTGGGAGGATCCCTTAAGCCCAGGAGGTCAAGGCTGCAGTGAGCCATGATTGCACCACTGCATTCAAGCCTGGGTGACAGGGTGAGACCCCATTGCTAAAAAAAGAAGTACGTTATTATTAGTTATAACCAAAATTGCCAGTGGTCATGGCATTCACATATATCTGAGGACCCCAGAATTGTGGGCTTAATTGGCTTTGTTCCACATTTGAGTGTGCCTTCTGTATAACAGGCCCTATATTGTGAATAAATTCCTCATATGTGTCATTCTGATTGTAATTACTTTTCAGTAAATTTAAAGTTAGACAAGACCACTTAGTAGGATTTTATATTTTTTAATTGAATTTCAGAGTCCAGGATTAATTTAAAACTTTAATTTTCCAGAAAGAAACATTTAAATAAACTTTAAAGCACCTATAGAACTCTCCCTTTACTCTCCCCACCCTTCAACATTGCATACCTTTCCCAAGTTCAGACCTTCTCCCTAGATACATGCCTCCTGTCTGCTGCTTTTTGAACATAATTTTCACTCATTGTTTATCCCTATGGCCTTTTTCTCCAACCACTTGCTCTTTCCCACAAAAGGCATTCAGTTTCCTGTATTGGAAAGCTCCTTTTCCTATTTCAAAGGAATGCTTTCCTTATTTGACTTAAGAATCTCTTCCCTTACTCCTTTATTGTTTCTCTCTTGCTATAAAGCCAGGTTAGTCAGTGATTAAAGTGCTTTTTACCCTGATTTTGTTCATTTAAGTATATGAGTACAATAAAGATACAGTATACTATTTGAGTAAGTACCAAAGTGAGTACTATACACTTACAGTGCTTGGATACTTATGACATGGGCTGAAATTACTAGAGAAAATTCTATAAAGGCCATTTGGAGTTTGAACTGGAGTTTGGATGAATGAATAGGATTTTAATAGATAGTGAAGAGTAGGAAAAACATTCTAGGAATGGGAAATCAGAATTAGGCAAAAGCAGAAAGTTAAGTATGGCATATTCATGGGATAAAAAATGTGGACTACTTGTTGCAGAAAGTTTCAACCAGATAAATCTAATTGAAATTACATTTTGAAGATCTGTGAATACTCGATCGAAGAGTTGGAAAGTGATTTGGGGGAAGTTAGTCATTACTTCATCATTTGAAGTACTTTACTATTAATTTCACTCAGCATGTAAGTGCTGCAAGGTAGAGCATGATACAGAAAATAACCTCTCTGGGCTGGGTGTGGTGGCTCACGCCTGTAATCCCAGCACTTTGGGAGGCTGAGGTGGATGGATCACAAGCTCAGGAGATCAGGAGCATCCAGGCCAACATGGAGAAACCCCATCTCTACTAAAAATACAAAAATTAGCCAGGCATGGCAGTGCGTGCCTGTAGTCCCAGCTACTCGGGAGGCTGAGGCAGGAGAATCGCTGGAACCTGGGAGGCGGAGGTTGCAGTGAGCCAAGATTACGCCACTGCACTCCAGCCTGGGTGACAGAGCGAGACTTCATCTCAGAAAAAAAGAAAAGAAACAAAAAGAACCTCTCTGCCTGTGAGGAGGTGATAATTTACTTTGAGAGTTCGTTTTTTACTTTAATGCACATTAAAAAGTTAAATAGATGTCAGACCATATTTCCACAAAGCAAATCACCTTCTCAAAACTGTTTCCTTGGAATTTAAAGTGTCATCTATACTTTGATGCCATTAAAATAAAATATTAACATTGATGATATCTAGGTTAGCGGTAACTTAAAAATTTGTAGTTTTCTGTGTAGTAAAAATATGTAGTATTTATGTAATTTTTAAGAAAAGCATTTTAATCGGTGGCTCAAGCCTGTAATCCCAGCACTTTGGGAGGCCGAGACGGGCGGATCACGAGGTCAGGAGATCGAGACCATCCTGGCTAACATGGTGAAACCCCGTCTCCACTAAAAAATACAAAAAACTAGCCGAGCGAGGTGGCGGGCGCCTGTAGTCCCAGCTACTCGGGAGGCTGAGGCAGGAGAATGGCGTGAACCCGGGAGGCGGAGCTTGCAGTGAGCCAAGATCACACCCGGCCAAAAGAGGGAGACCCCATCAAAAAAAAAAAAAAAAAAAAAAAGAAAAGAAAAGCATTTTAATAAAATAAAGCAGTATTTTAAATCTGTAAAAATCTGCACTGGCTACTAGAAAGCTCAGTGCTAGAATGAGTCAGCCTATAAAATAAACCCTTAAAAAACCTGACAGTGTGACTGAGCGAAAATGCTTCTGAGGCTCCAAATGCTCCCTGACACTACACGCTAATCAACAGGACCCTGGAAAATGGTAGCAAGCAAGAACTTGGAGCAAATGTATTCAAGTAATGAATGTCTAGGGATTCGATCAAACTCAAAACCCAACATAGACCAAACCCTCTGGTCCATGTTGATCTCTTGCTTGCCTGGTTATTGCACATCTCACATCTTCCCCTCTAGTCTACCCTATAAATGATGTGAAATTAATAGTATTAGTCAAAACTTACAGAGTGTTTATTGTGTGCTCTCACATATTAATTCAATCTTCCTAGAACATGTTGTTATTTTCAGAAGCTTTCAGAGGCTTCCTCTGACCAAACCATTAAATTGCATTGCTTGGCACTCAGGGACCCCGAAAATATAACCCTAATCTTTCCTCCCAATTATAGTTTGGGAGATAGCCATGTTACGAGAGAGCTGGAAGGGACCATCTATTACATTTTGTTTTAGGGAGCCAGTGAATGTAGGCATTGTAAAAGTGACCTGCCTGGAAGCCTACAGCTTTTAGGGTCAAAGGACTAGCACCCAGGTCTTTTGTCTCCCAGGCCTACCCCACAGCTTTGCCACAGGGACATTTACCCACTTTTTTTACCTCATAATTCCTTCGCCTTCTCGGCCATCTTATTGATATCTTTCAAGGTCTAAGTCAAGCACCCCTTATACAATAAAGGTTTTTTCCTGATCACATCACTTCACAGTGATTTCTTCACTCCTTTGAGCTAAAGCTATCTCAGTCTATAAGGTAATAAACTACCTATTGTCTCATCATGTTTCTTTTGTTGTCCTGCTGCTTGTTCTTATCTGATTTGTGTGTGACCTTCTCCTTATTTAGAGTGCAAATTATTAAGTTCTTTTAGTTGAAAAAGTAGTACATTCACACTGTAAAAATAAGTACAAAAAGATATGCAGTGAAAAGTCTCCCTTAGATGCCAGACACTCAATCCTTCTCCCTAGGGACAATCACAGTTATCAGTCTCTTTTATAATCTTCCAGAAATATTCTATGTATAGACAAGCACATATGTGAAATAGACATCATACATCATTCTTCACCTTGCCCTTTTACTTACCAATATGATTGTGGAATGATTGCACAGTAACATAGAGCTCATTCATTCTTTTTAACTACTGGATATACCATAATTTATTTAACCAGCCTCTCTACTTTACAAGTTTTGAGGAATAGTTGATATACAATAAATATTGGATGAGTGAGAATGTATGAAATATGGTTGTATTAATTTCTCAAGTCTCATAAAGGGAAAATACAGGCTGATGTGACGTGATAAATATATCACCTACCCTAACCTAGTATATTTGGGTAAAGGAAGAAAACAATCTAGTAGAAGTTATTGTGAGCTCTTCAAAGAGGAACAATTTAAAACCTACCAAAAAGCAGTTTGTGTTTGATTAAATGACCTTTCATCCCAAATATAGGAATTTATTTTCAGAAACATTTATTGACCACCTGCTTTGCTCAATAAACACTGTGTTAACTGCTGTTAGAACTATATAGATGTGTAAGAACCTGACCTTGTCTTTAGGAAACTTTGAGTCTAATACTGGAAATGACTGGAAGGCTGTATTGACATACTCTGAGAGAGGTCCAAGAGAAGTAGAATAAAACCACAGGGAAGAGATGTAGTAATTCTGTCTTGAGGTCTCAAATTGGAACTAGAAATAGAGAGATGTAGGTGCATGCAAAGTGAGATTGCATAAATGTAGTATTATGTAATATTTGACACACATAATGCTAGTGTTAAAACATAACTGAGCACTGATGAATCCATACTCAATTAAGAACATTACCAATACTGAAGTTAACTATTTACTTCTCCCCAGTCCATCTCCCTGTCTGCCTTCTAGAGGTACCATGTGATCACTTTTTATTCTGTCTTCTACTCTTCTTGGAGAGCTAGTTATATCCATGGATAGGTATATTTACTTTGGCCCTGGTGTCAGAAATGGATTAGAAGCTCCCTCTGCTGGTTTCATGTACAGATACCAACTGGTTAGACTTTTGTATAAGTGATACCATCACAGTAATTGCAATTATAATTACTTTTTATTGTGCCTACTATGTGTATTAAATATTTTGCATATCTCATTTAAATTTTATAAACTCTCTGTGCAGGAGTGGTGGTTATCCAGATTTATACATGAGGAAACTTAAGGCTCAATGAGATAAGTAATTTGCCCAAGGTTACATATCTGTGAAGGGCAGAACTGAGATTTGAACCCTAATCTGACTCTGAAGCTGTGCTCTTCCTTGCTGTCACTTAAGATAATTTATCTAGAGCATTTAGTACAGTATCTGGCACAGAGCAAACACACAGCAAATGGTAGCTATTATTACAGTGATTGGCAAGACAGTGATGAATAGAAAATTGGCAGAAAGACATATAAAAATACTCTTTGAAGTAAAGCAACATTAGGATTTGGAAACAGATATAAGAGTAGCAGTTGTGTAAATAAAATATTCTCTTCAGGTATTTCAGAGACAAGCGACAGCTACAGCCTAGGGAGGAATCACATGACATACAGGACCTTTAGATCTATTTCCTGCTTCATCTTCTCCCATTCTCCCAGGCATTCTATGCTAGTCAGATGGTTGACTTGCAGTTTACTGAATGGTTCATGCACTCTCATGCCTCCTTACCTTAGGAACTGCTGCTTCCTTTACCTGAACTCGTTCACTTGGCTAACTCCTGCTTATCCTTTAGGATTGGGCTTGAGTGCCACCTCTCCTAGGAAGCCTTCCTTAAGTTTCCAAGTTAAGTAAGTTCATACAAATAATGTAACAAATTTTTAAAGTAATCTACCTATTTCCCTTCTATCTAAGTAAAACATATATGCCAAAACACATTTTTCAAAACACTCGGGCTAATGTTTAAAGAAAGTAATCCACCTATCACCCTTCTATCTAAGTAAAACATTGTTAAAAATCCCTTAATTTGTCCACATGTATTTATATTTTTCATAAAACAGTTCATGGTTTTGTGTTTTTTTCTTATATAAAAACTTTTGGCTGGGTGTGGTGGTGCACGCCTGTAATCCCAGCACTTTGAGAGGCTGAGGTGGGTGGATCACAAGGTCAGGAGATCGAGACCAGCCTGGCCAACATGGTGAAACCTCGTCTCTACTAAAAATACCAAAAATTAGCCAGGCGTGGTGGCAGGCACCTGTAGTCCCAGCTACTTGGGAGGCTGAGGCAGGAGAATTGTTTGAACCTGGGAGGTGGGGGTTGCAGTGAGCCGAGATCATACCACTGCACTCCAGCCTGGGCAACAGAGCGAGACTATCTTAAAAAAAAAAAAAAAAAATTTAAAACTTTTCTGTTTTTCAACTTAACTATGGCAAGTATGTTTTCCCCTTTCTTACCAAATATAATTATGAATTGTGCGAGAGGTTTTGTATTTTCTTCTGTGTACCCAACACCATGGTAAAGAATACGTGCAAGAGGGGCCAGCCGCGGTGGCTCACGCCTGTAATCCCAGCGCTTTGGGAGGCCAAGGCGGGTGGATCACTTGAGGTCAGGAGTTCGAGACTAGCCTGCCCAACATGGTAAAAACCCATCTCTACTAAAAATATAAAATTAGCCGGGCGTGGGGGTGCACACCTGTAATCCCAGCTACTTGGGAGTCTGAGGCACACATCTGTGATCCCAGTTACTTGTAAGGCTGAGGCAAGAGAATCGCCTGAACCTCGGAGGCGGAGGTTGCAGTAAGCTGAGATGGTGCCACTGCATTCCATCCTGGGTAACAGTGAGACTCCATCTCCAAAAAAAAAAAAAAAAATTGTACAAGAGGACACAAAAGAAGAATACATGGTCCCTGCACTCTGGGAGCTTATAATCAGTTTGAGGAAGGGAGGCATCTGGATACATATGGGGTCCTTTGTTGCTGACACATGACTAAGTGGCCTAATTTTGAATGTAGTTTAGAATTCTTGTATCTTAAAACATATTATTCTATAGCCACATGTATTTTTGTTTTGCCTACTCAAATATGTGCAGATTTGTATCAAAGAATGTCTTCATACAGATGAGAAACAGATGAATATTGAAAAGGTTTCAGAACGTTACTGGCAATTTCAATTTAATATTAAAGTTCGGTTGGGCTCAGTGGCTCACGCCTGTAATCCCAGCACTTTGGGAGGCCAAGGCGGATCACCTGAGGTAAAGAGTTCAAGACCAGCCTGGCCAACATGGTGAAATCCTGTTTCTACTAAAAATACAAAAATTAGCTTGCTGTGGTGGCAGGCACCTCTAATCCCAGCTGCTTGGGAGGCTGAGGTAGAGGAATTGCTTGAACCCAGGAGGCAGTGGTTGTAGTGAGCCAAGAGTGTGCCACTGCACTCCACCCTAGGTGACAAAGTAAGACTGTGTATCAAATAATAATAATAATAATAATAATATTAAAGTGTGATATAGATTTCTAGTCTGACCAGGCATGGTGGCTCACACCTGTAATCCTATCACTTTGGGAGGTCGAGGTGGGTGGATCACCTGAGGTCAGGAGTTCGAGACCTGCCATGTTTCGCTAACACAGCGAAACCCCATCTGTACTAAAAATACAAAAATTAGCCAGATGTGGTGGTGGGTGCCTGTAGTCCCAGCTACTCAGGAGGCTGAGGCAGAATTGCTTGAACGGGGAGTCAGAGGTTGCAGTGAGCTAAGATCACACCACTGCACGCCAGGCTAGGTAACAGAGCGAGTCCATCTCAAACAGAAAAGAAAAAAGAAAAAAGAAAAAAAAACATATAAAGAAATTTCCAGTCTGTGTATACAGCTTTGAAGTTTTGAATTGTTTTTATAAATGATGTAGTGAGAGGAAATGGGTAACCCGGAAGATTCTTTTAGAAAACAGGACCCTGGGGCCAGGTGCGGTGGCTCACTCCTATAATCCCAGCACTTTGGGAGGCCGAGGCAGGTGGATTACGAGGTCTAGGAGTTCAAGACCAGCCTGGCCAACATGGTGAAACCCCGTCTCTACTAAAAACACACACACAAAAATTAGCAGGGTGTGGTGGCATGCACCAGCTACTCAGGAGGCTGAGGTGTGAGAATCGCTTGAACCCAGGAGGCAGAGGTTGCAGTGAGCCAAGATCGTGCCACTGCACTTCAGCCTGGGTGACAGAGCAAGACTCCATCTCAAAAAAAAAAAAAAAAAAAAGGAAGAGGATTCTCTGCCTCTGTAATAGCTATGGAAATTCTAGCCCAAAATAGGTGATCAGATTATTCCTTACCTGGTGAAATTAGTCTCAGTGCATTTCTCAGCAGAACAAATGTCAAGTGCTTATAGATTTCTACTTTGATAGTAAAATGGCCCTTGCAGAACTGTTACCGATGAGAGAGAACAGGTAAGGAGACGGCAAGTAGACTTTGGGGATAATGTTTTTTGTAGTTCAGAGTTTTCTTCACCTTGGGCTAGTGGTATAGCACATTTATTGTCATCCAGTGGAAAAATCTAACTTGCTAGAAATGAAAAAACTTCTATATAAATATTAGCACAGGTACCCTTGACTGCAAAAGATCGGTTATCACATCTTAATCCAAAGAGAGTCATTGGCAAAACATAATTAATTCTTCATCTAATTTTTAGTGCTCACATGGAGTGGCCAAGAAGTAATGAGTCATACCTCTGAAGTGCAGCTGTCCAACAGGTAACACTGACTGGAAATTTGCATTTATCCAACGAAAAATCATGTACTTCATAGCTAACAGCTATTTATACAGTATGTACTTACCAGGCTTCTGAAAACAAAACTAGTATGGACAAACACAAACGTATAAAGGAGCACTGTTTTATATTCTTTGATTTCTTATCTGGAAGTAGATCTAAGAGTGCTTTGCAAGCTTTTTCAGATAACACAGTTCACATTTAAAGGGAAAAACATGTTCTTTATTTGTAGACAGTGATTTACTGCTTCTATATCTAAACATCTGAGCCTCACTCTGTCACCAGGCTGGAGTCAGTGGCGCGATCTCGGCTCACTGTAACCTCCGCCTCCTGGGTTCAAGTGATTCTCCTGCCTCAGCCTCCCAAGTAGCTGGAATTACAGGTGTGCACCACCATGCTCAGCTAATTTTTTGTATTTTAGTAGAGACAGGGTTTCACCATGTTGGTCAGGATGGTCCCAATCTCCTGACCGCATGATCCACCCGCCTTGGCCTCCCAAAGTACTGGGATTACAGATGTGAGCCACTGTGCCAAGCCAACAATTTTCTTAATGTAGAAGATAATTTGTCCACACCACTTAAAAATGAGTATCTATTAATCACATGCAAATAGAACTGGAAATCAGTCTAATGCAAATGGATAAGCCATATTGTATGTTCAGGCAAACAAAACGTGTAACACACAGATCCTTTTATCTTTTGCTTTTATCCAGAGGCCTTCCAGGGGTCTGTACCCCATAGGCAGGACTCTACACAGAATTTATATTCATGCCATTTGTTGTTTCACTGTCACATAATAACATTTTCCTGAAGTCTGAGAGGTGGCATTTTTAGTTTTCAAAGCCATCAGCTTATGACTTTTAGAATATAACAACTGGAAAAAGTGTTCTGTTTTTTATTGAGAAGATTAGTGTATGGTATAATTCATTCTAATCTGATTATACAATCTTGCATTTATAGTTTTTAAAAGGAAAAAATTTAACTGTTTATATATTTTTATCATTTACAAAAGAATGTATGCTTATTATAAAATTTCAAATACTGCAGATATCTATAAAGTATTAAAAGAAATTAAAAAGCTAAGGTAATTCCATTTTTCAGAGACAACCATTTTTGACAACTTAGTGTCCACATGCCCAAAAAATTTTTTTCTACTCAGGAGGCTGAAATGGGAGGATCAGTTGAGCCCAGGAGTTTGAGACCAGCTTGGGCAACATAGAGACCCTATCTCTGAAAAGAAAAAATTGTTTTTCAATGCTTCTACAAATGTATAATTATATAGATTTGTGTTATTCAAACTATCCTGCAACTTGATTTCTTTCCTTAATGATAAATCTCAGACATTTTTGCACATTGTACATGTAAATCTACCTTATTCTTCTCAAAAGCTACATGGTACTACATGGTAGTGATTTGTTTAACCAGTCCTCTTTTGATGAGTTGTTTCCAAATATGCAGACATGCTTATTATGTACATCTTTGCACTCTTGAGCATACTGCTATAAGATAAATACCTAGAAGAGGAATTTCTAGATCAGATGTTACCAAATCTTCTTCTTAAAAGGTTAGATCACTTTACATTCTCAACAGCAGTTATGGGAATGCCTGTTAATAGTTTCTCCAAGTTAATTATCAGTCTTTTTAATTTTTGCCAGTTATCGGTAGGCAAATTGGTATTTGTTTTAATTCATATTTGGTTAAATATCAATAGCAGTGAACATTTTTTATGTTATTAGGTCATCTGTATTTTCTTTGAACTGCCTAACATCTTAAGAAAAGCTTAAATAAACATTAGATTATCTATAGGCTTCCCTAACAATTGCTGTATAACTCGTTTCTGTCATAGAAACATCTAATTAATACCTTAACCAGAATGTAAAACTAAATGTGCATATTCTGTGGATTTTTTGAGATCATATATTTTTGTAACCTAGAGCCATGGAACTGCTTAGAGTAAAAAGTCAAAGATCCTGGTCTGTTGGACTATCAGTAGCTGACATGGTTGACAGTATTGTAAACAATAAGAAGAAAGTGCATTCTGTATCAACTTTAGCAAAGGTAATTGTTATTCTTATTCTCTCATTATATTTTAAACTTAGATATTATTAATACAAAACTAGCAAAATCATTATTCATACTCTAACCCCAGGTGTCTTCAGTATTTTAGAGTAACAGGTAGGAGAAAGCAGTTTAGTTTAAGCCCTATCCTGCTTAGCTATGAGAAGTCTGCCAGCTTGGGCAACATAGTGAGACCCCCATCTTTACAAAAACAAAAACAAAACTTTGCCAGGCATGTGACAGCCACTCAGTAGGCTGGGGTGGGAGAATCTCTTGAGCCTGGAGGTTGAGGCTGCAGTGAGCCATGTCACTGGACTCCAGGATGGACAACACAGTGAATCCCTGTCTCCAAAAATAAAATCTTGACTGGGTGGGGTGGCTTATGCCTGTAATCCCAGCACTTTGGGAGGCAAGGCGGGTGGATCGCTTGAGGTTAAGAGTTTGAGACCAGCCTGACTAACATGGTGAAACCCCTCTCTACTAAAAATATAAAAATTAGCTGGGCATAATGGCAGGTGCCTGCAATCCCAGCTACTTGGGAGGCTGAGGCAGGAGGCAGAGGTTGCAGTGAGCCAAGATCACACCACTGCAACTCCAGCCTGGGTGACACAGGTTGAATTGAACACTAAATTCTAGTGTTCAACAGCACAGTAGGGTGAGTGTAATTATTAATAATTTATTGTACATTTCAAAACACCTAGAAGAGGGTGGGTGTGGTGGCTCATGCCTGTAATCCCAGCACTTTGGGAGGCCGAGGTGGGAGGATCACTTGAGCTTAGGAGTTCAAGACCAGCTTGGGCAATATAGAGAGACTTCATCTCAAAAAAAAAAAAAAAAAAAAAGAAAGAAAGAAAAGAAAAACAAAATAGCCAGAAGAGACCATTTGGAGTGTTTTCCACACAAATAAATGATAAATGTTTGAGGTGATGGATAGCCCAATTACCCTGATTTGATCATTACACATTGTATGCATATACTGAAATATCACATGTATCCCACAAATACATACCATTATGGTACCGGCGTTTTTTTTTTAAGACGTTATTGTCATTTGACTGTGCCCAGAGACCATCCCATGGCCCTCCCCAGGAAATCCATTCTTAACTATTTTTTTTCTTAGCCCCCAACCTGCTACCCATATTGCAGGGGGCTAGCTTACTTCTCTACAAAGTGGGTGTCTGACCAAGTTGCTTCCATCTCTCAAAAATTTTCTGAAATGGTAAGTTTATAAAATCAATGAATGATTGTGAGGTCTGGACTTCTAAAAATAAAATAAAAATAAGTAAATGAACAAAAAAACCTTTTTGAGTCCAACTTGTATCACTTTGTCTTAGAACTAAGAAAGCAAGAAAGTATGCATTTTTGTATTAACTTCTTTGCAGTGATTTAGTTCTATTAAAACCCTTATTTTTCTCATTTCAGGGATATTATGATATAGATAGTGAAGTGTTTCTAAGTTTGCCTTGCATCCTTGGAATCAGTGGAGTATCTGAAGTCATCAAAACCACACTGAAAGAAGATACAGTTTCTGAGAAACTCCAAAGCAGTGCATCCTCAATCCATGGTCTCCAACTACAGTTAAAACTTTGATTCTCAAATGCAATTTAAGAGGCTGGACTTCTACCTAAAGGGAAAAGTCATTTAATTTTACCAATATATATAGGTTTGAGAATTTCTGTATCCTGCTATTTATCCTTACAAACTGCTTGGTTAAAGTAGAGGGTTTCTTGATTAGCTCTGTGATTTAAATCCTTAAGAAGTTACATAAGGAGGGGAAAAATTAATTTTATTTGGGGTTCTTGAGATATCTATGCTGTTCTTTAAATCTACAGCAGGGGTAAACATTCATCTGAAGTGTGCATCAATTTAAATCATATATCCTAAACTAAAAGCACAGTTCACAATTTGGGAATATTTTATAAGTAATACATCTTTAAAAGAAAATTACCCTTTGACTTTTATAATAAACATAAGTTCAAGGCCCAGTATGGATTTACAAAATCTGTATCAATTGTACATTCACAGGATCCACAGCTTAAGTTACTAATGTTTCTTGTGTAAAATCCTGTTGGTAGTACTAGTAAAGCATTATATTTCCCTTCTTCAAATTAATTAGCTACCAAAAAATGGAAAAGAATTTTACATGCACTTTAAAACAGAAAATGGAAAGTGAATTTTTAAAATGATATGCATTAAAAGTTTAATTTAATTTCCAGTGGGACTTTATGAAATTTTGTATAACTTCTTCCTGGAGTATATAAGATCTCCAACATCTCATAAACTAATTGTGATATTAGTAGAACCATAGACAAATGTATATTTTTAGTGGAAATAGATTATGAATGAAAGCCAAGCAGCTTACTTTAGAGCCAAACTATGAGATTTTCATTAAAAACATTGGTCATAATAGGGAGAGGTCAAACGGACTCTCCCCATTATTTGTTCTGAGCAAATCCTTTAACCTCTCCTGATCATACAGTTCAGAGTACACACACTTTGGTGACAGATCAACAGCAATATTTTCTTATGTGAAAGATAGCTTATTATTACTATTGTGACATTACAACTGATAGTAACAGTTAACATTAACACTTCATATATACCAGGCAGCATGATAAGCACTTTATTATTTTACTGAATCCTCACAACAGCCCACAGAGGTAGGGACTATTACCATCATCATTTTATAAAAGGAAATTGAGGTTTAGTCCTCAAGAAGTCTTGGCGATTGAAGGGCACTTATCCATACAACCTCTACTTTTTCTAGGCACTAAAAGGGGGAAAAGGCTTAACAGCCAAAATAGTTATCAAAAGACCCTAAAGTTGGGGTCCTATACACCATGAAAGGATTACTTTCATTCTCATGTAAGGGCATGCTTTTATAAAAAACAAACGTGGGCTGGGCGTGGTGACTCATGCCTGTAATCCTAGCACTTTGGGAGCCCGAGGCAGGCAGATCACGAGGTCAGGAGATCGAGATCATCCTGGCTAACGAGCCTGTCGCTACTAAAAATAAAAAAAATTAGCTGGGCGTGGTGGCAGGCGCCTGTAGTCCCAGCTACTTGGGAGGCTGAGGCAGGAGGATGGCATGAACCCAGGAGGCGGAGCTTGCAGTGAGTGGAGATCACACCACTGTACTCCAGCCTGGGCGACAGAGCGAGACTCCATCTCAAAAAAAAAAAAAAGTTTAAAAATTTGCCAGGTGTGGTGCTGTGCACCTGTAGTTCCAGCTACTCAGGACGCTGAGGCAGGAGGATTGCTTGAGCCCAGAAGTTCAAGATTACAATGAGCTATGATCATGCCACTGCACTCTAGGCAACACAGTGAGACCCTGTCTCTAAAAAAATAAAAATAAAAATAAATCAAGCGTATAATAGGTTAATCCAGACGGAGATAGGAGGGTTTATAAGGGCAGACACATCCTAGGTAAAGAGGAAATAGGCAAACTAACACTGTTTTAGTGTAATAAGGAATGCTTATAATGATGAACTTTAGTCATAAAGAAAAGGTGAAATTATATTCAGTAACCCATGTTTAGGAAAGCAGAAAAGTATTTAATATGCTTGGAAAGATTCCCACCAGAGTTAACTGGATAAAAACCTTGGACATTTGAAGAGAAAAGCATTTAGGTCTATGTAATTTCAATATGCACGCGAATTAGTTCATGTTACCCTAACAATGTATTCTTACTGTCCTTTTTTATGAAACAGGAAAGTAAAACTGAAAGAACTATTGTTTTTAAAACTAGCCTTTTCTAATATTTGATATCTAAAGTTAGATAATATGTAATATGCTTTTGAACAATAACCAGAAAATATTGTATAATAAATTACCAATAACTCATTAATTATAAAAGGAACATGTCAATACAACAAATGTTTATTTAACACCTACTGTTATTCCACATACTGTGTTAGAATTTGACTATTCGAAGATGAATAATAGTCTTTGCCCTCTGGAAGGCCACAATGAAGGAGTAATTCTCTGTATCAGATATTTCTTTGAGTGTTAAGTATATTAGTAATCATGTTGTAAATCCCAGTGTAAGTCAAGAAGCAATATCACCACCACCACCTCCCTATGATTTTGTGATAATTTGACATTCTCAATGCTTGTTAACTTTCATGTTTTTATTTTTACAAAATCATGCAGAGCTTGTTACAATTTTTAGTGGGGTTTGGATTAAAATGCTTTTTTGATGTAGCAGAAGACAAATTTTTTTCCATTTTCCATTGTTTTCCTTAAATATTAAGAATAATGAACAAAATAAACTGATTTCAAAATCACCAGATGATCCTTCATTTATTAAGTGAAAGGAAATATTCAGATTAAGGAGATTTTTTCATACAATTCACACAGCACCCAGGATATTTAGTTATTTTGTGTAAAATGAAGAGACTAGATTTTATCAATTGTTTTCAAACTTTTAAAAATTATTTTTAGCAAGAAAACTTTTTAAATCTTTTTGGTTTTGAGCCAGGTTCTCACTATATTGCTCAGGCTGGACTCAAACTCTTCGGCTCAAGTAATCCTCCTGCCTCAGCCAATGGAGTAGCTGGGACTGCAGGTGCACCATCAGCTTGTGTTTTCATCTGTGATAATAGGGGGATTTAAAATTCTCCACTAATATATGTGAGGACAGAAATCAAAATGCCTAATGAGTGGAAAAAAACTCATATTTAGTGTTGAAATGGCAAGCAACTTTCAAAAGCATTTCAACTACTGTTACCTTCACATCAAAAAATTAACTGATTTTGCATATTTCTAAAACCACAAAGACTTTTTCCCCACACACATTCAATCCTTCATGGTTCCAATGAAATAGATAAGAAGTTAACACTGTATATTAAGGTAGTGTTGACCCTGAAAGATTGCAAAAGACTGATAGTAAACATGCAGCAAGAAAGCTTTTTAAACAATATATTGCTGGGCACAGTGGCTCACACCTGTAATCCTAGCACTTTGGGAGGCTAAGGTGGGAGGATCACCTGAGCCCAGGAGTTCTGAGGCCAACCTGGGCAACAAATTGAGACCTCATTTTTACAAAAAATTAGAAAATTAGCTGGGCATGGTGGCACACGCATGTGGTCCCATATACAAGGGAGGCTGAGGCAGGAGGATCACTTGAGCCAGGGAGGTCGAGGCTGCAGTGGGCCATGTTCACACCACTGCACTACAACCTGGGCAACAGAACAAGGCCGTGTCTCAAAAAATATATAAATAGGCTAGGCGCAGTGGCTCAGGCCTGTAATCCCAACATTTTGGCAAGCTGAGGTGGGTGGATCACCTTAGGTCCAGAGTTCAAGACCAGCCTGGCCAACATAGTGAAATCCTGTCTCTACTAAAAATATAAAAAATTAGCTGGGTGTGGTGGTGGGCACCTGTAATCCCGGCTACTCAGGACGCTGAGCAGGAGAATCACTTTGAACCTGGGAGGCAGAGGTTGCAGTGAGCCGGAGATCACACATATTGCACTCCAGCTTGGACAGAAAGAGCAAACTCGCGTCTCAAAAAAAAAAAAAAAAAACTTATTATATATATACCTATACGTATCACACATCACACACACACACACA